CTTACACTATCGCCCTAAGCAAAGACATGGCCGATAAATAATTATCGCCCTTAGCATAAATCATGGCCGATACATAATTATCGCCATGAGAAATACAAATGGTCGATGGAGTGTTGACATCGTCCTTAGAACAAACAGATGCAAACTATTTTTCAGCATTCAAGCTTTGCCGAAAAACATGGGGGCATGTGTTGACACTAGATTTTGGCATGGTACGAAATGCAGTTAAGATGATCTCAAATCGAGAAGCGATCTACATGAAAAAGTTCGGTATTGTCAACACGAACATCTTTGAAGTTTGGTCGATCGGCATCCGATCTCATCTCGAAGGCCGAAGTGGTGCTCGAAATACTGAGATTTTGTATCCAGAGCACTGTTTGGCCGATTACGCGGCCTCAAATGAGAAATCTTTGTACACGAATTGTCTTCGTTCGTCAAAACGGTCGGTTTGGATATAAAAGTCATCTTAATTTGAGATCGTATGTAAAAATTAGAGCCATTTAAATACGGCCCTATCACCAGGAAAAACTTGCTCGCCCCATCAGACATGGTGTCTGATGGGTGGCGCAAATGACAGTCCGTTTTGCGCGAGCGATTCGGTCCTGAAGATGGCCTCGAATCAAAAAAATGTTCAACATGGAAGTTGTTCGTCTCGTTGAAAAGGTTAAATTTGCTTCTTACAAGATTTTGATCTGAGGTTGTTCACTACCCCAAAAATGAACCACAAAGTGCAGTCAATTTTTAGACCGAACAGTTTTGGAAAGTTCAGATTAAGCAGTCCGAATGGAACCCAAATTAGGGTTTTGGACGTGAATTATAACTTTTCCTTGCATGGGAAGTCCAGCCGCCTCTTATATACATGAGGGGTGACGGCCGATTGAAACACAACACACAATCGTAAAACCCATCTACAAAGTTTCATCTCCTACCCTAGTTTTCTGCTTCTCGTTCATCGGAGTTATTCACTTCGAAGAGCTTCGATCTACGAAGTCATAGGGGCGGGCGAATCGACCTAGGGCAGCCCATCACCGCCGTGCGTCCAGATAGGGTCTCTCCCGGTCGCGTGGGGTTTCGGATCTTCAAAAGAGCTCGCCGGATTGTCTTGCGTATCGCGCTTCCGGTGAGCCTCCTTCGGCGACGTGTCTTGCGTATCGCGCTCGACGCCGAGGGTACGGTGACGTGTTCGTGTGCGAACAGCAACCAGCGAAATGGAGTGATCCGTGCATTCAACAGGGGTTCGATTAGTGGGCGGAAGACTGGTAGGTAAGGAGGTCCCGGACGTACGAGATCCATGGTCCCTGTGAAAACGCTTGACCCCAGAGAAGAAGTGCGGTAGTACAAGGCAACTGCACCTCCTCGCGTCCGCACATGGCCGGCCGATGCCGTTACGTACGGAGCAGCATGGGGGCATCTCCATGCGTGGTGGGACATCATCATTCATTCATCAATCGCTTCGGCCATCACCACATGAAAACAAAGAAGAGTTTGGCGGTTCAGGCGCTGCGCGTCCACGGCGTCCGCAACCGCGCCGAACAATATCTCCGTCGGCCCAGCCCCCCGCCACGGCGTCTCTCTCTGTCTTTCTTCAGGTTTCGTGCTGCAATTGGGCGTCGGCACAGCGCCTGTCACGCGACGACGAGGACACGAGCTGCCGAACGAGCGAGTCCGCGTGAGTGTGTTGGGTCGGAAAAGAAGAGCGAGGGGGTGTTCTATTTACAGATCACAGGATGAATGAGCGCCAGGTAGGTAACGCCGGCTGCATATTTTATGGCCGGCGGCCGGCTGACTGACGCGGATGCGCGACCCTTGTTGGCGAGCCGTCGGCGGCACCTCCAATTTGGAATGTATTCAGGCATTTTCTATGTGCTGTGCTGACTGACCACACGGGCCATCCGACCAATTATGCGTTTCGTAGCAGCAGCGGTTTGCGAGAGGGCTTGCTCACGCTGTTTCTTCTGACTCCAGCACAAAACCACAAGTGGTAGTTGCGCCTCTGAAAACTCCAAGCTATGGACGTAAGCTGTTCCGGCTCAAAAAACAGAGATAAAAGACCCACGAAACCAGGGTCAAAACATGGCCTGCCACTGGGTTGGTAAATATGAACACACATTTCCACCGCAAAAGGCGAGCGATCAAGCGGATAGAATCAGCGTCCCTGTCACGTCCTAAACAACAGCAACACGAGGAGCTCGTCAGCTCTGGAGACCGGAGGACGCAGGCCAACAGCGTCAAACTGTGCTGCGTCCACGGAACTTCGCCATCCCGATCCGTTAGGCGGGTCGTACTCCGACGCTAAATCAATGTAGCGCCCATGCTCACGGGACCAAATTTCTTCTTAGAAAACACACAGCGCCAATCATCTTTCGAGGAACAGGCGGCAACTCAGACACGGGTCACTCGGCCAGCTAGCCAAGACAGCGACCCGAGATTATGATAGCTGTGCGACGTACCGCCGATCTGGAGCTTGTCCTCGGAGCCGAAACCTATCACCAGCATTGCACGAACCCTTGCTGCCAAGGTTCGGCTGGCATTCCTGATCTTTGGTTCATGTGTTGCATCAGGAACCAGTAGTCGAGACAGCCTATGTCGATCGGCCACAAAGGGGGGCCCACTAGTTATGACAGCCAGACAGCTTAATGTTGAATGAATTCTTGAGTGCAACCATGGTATACCACACTGGCATGCATTGGTTCACGATTGCTGTGTTAGTGATCATGACCACACCGCAGCTATTGCAGTGACCCAGTCACTGGGAGCAGCAGCTTCCATATGGGTTACATCAGGTAAACACTCCCTCTGTAAACTAATATAAAAAAATTTAGATCAGTGATTTAAAAACGTCTTATATTAGTTTACATAGGTCGTAGTAAGTGTTAAATGGTGTGAGTGCCTGAGCTACAAAACGGTAGAAACGGACCAACTGGAGCAGGAGAAACCGGGAAACATTTTGGCGAAACAAGTCACGCTAGATCATAAAACGGAACAAGGGGGATTTGGACTCCAAACATCAAGTAAAAAAAGACATGGTTTGGCTATCCAACATTCCCCTATAACCTCGCAAAGCCAAGCCGGCATTACCATATTACCACCCTAACATACATCCTGTACACAGCTACAACTCGACACCACACATAACTGAGCAGCAATCCATGTCCTCTCCTAAGATAACCTGGATGCTCCTCCCAACTGATGTTAGTGACCAGCCATCTAAACTTCCATCACTCGCAGTCGCAGACCACATATGTATATTCACAGAACCGACCCAAAAGCCGGCCGTTATTTACACATGATCATCGCGCCCCATCCGTATAGGGCTGCTCTGTTCTCGACGCCCGAATCAAGAACAGAGACGACGAGGTGAAAGACAAACCAAGCATACTTTCTGCATTTCACCATATCAGTGCTGCATTTACCTAGCCAAGCTCGTGACTGCGTCGCATGACCAAAGAGTCACCGAGCCATACTCGTAGCTGCGCCGCCTGGTCCGGCTCGGCAGCCACCGCCCCCTTGTCGCTGTTCACGCAAGTAACCTAGCAAAGTCTCGGCCTGCAAATCACACAACTGAACATATAAGTGGCTTGGAACTCAGGAACGATTTTCAGCTTGAGCTAAATTAAATACAAGGCAGGCATGGAGTGAGATCCCTCTTTTTGTCAGACTAGTTCATGACAAAGTAGACAGACTCTAGTGGCAAAGTTTAAGTTTCAGTGGGAGATTTCAGTGGGAAATCTCAAGCACATGGTTTCGCACGGAATTTTAAGTTTCCTCGTTTTCTAGTGACACCGAGCATCGTTTACGAGCAAAAGAACTGTAGTTTTGACCTGGAGGCCTCTCTGAGCTGTAGGGGAGAGCGCACTCATCCTCCTGTACTTCCAAGGTTTAGCAGATCTTGGACTGTGGACTGTACTTAAGAAGTGTGAAATTAAACAAGTGCATATCTCGACCAAGAGAACTGAATCTACAAGTCAACACCTGCTTGATCAGTACTAACATGACGAAATACGCGTTGATTTGGGTCTTTTTGAAGACCAGGTAGAAGAAATCTACCAAAACTCAAGTACACGCACGCTGTCATTCTACCGGTCCAGAGTTAATATACTTTTCAGTACCGTCAATCGGACTTCAATCAAACTCTAACTGACGAATTCGTTGCGCACTGTTCAGTACAATGACAGTCGCATCAAAAGCTCAAACCTTAGACTGACAAGTTAAACATTGATAATCGCCAATTGTTATGACTAGAATAAAATTAAGCAAATCACATACAATTTTAGCATAAGATTTGCAAGGGGATTAGAACGTATATACCTTGTGCTTGGCACGAGCAGAGCCGGACTGTGAGAGCGCAACAAGCGGTGGGATGGCCCCTTCTCGAACGAGGAGCGCACGGTTGCTGGAGCACTCGGAGCACAGCTGCAGCAGAGCCACCACGGCGAACTCCTTCTCCCTCGCAGGGCCGTCCTCGATGGTCTCTACCAGTGCAGGTATCCCACCGGCTTCCACCACAGCGTCGCGGCCCTCGGCTATGCTGGCGAGGCTGGCAAGGACCACCATTGCCTTCTCCGACGTCCCGGTGCCGCGCTCGTCGATGAGGTGCACGAGCGGCACGACGGCTCCAGCGCTGACGGCACGCTCCTTGTTCCGGCGCGCCGAGCAGAGACGGTAGAGCGTGGTGAGCGCGTCCTTCTTTCCCCGGGTGGAGCCCGCGGAGAGCAGCGCGACGAGCGGCGCGACGGCGCCACACGCGCCGATGGTGGCACGGTTCTCCTCGATGCCCGACAAGCTGAGCAGCGCGCACGCGGCATTCTGCTTGGCGGAGGCTGTCCCGGTCCGCAGCGCGTAGACGAGCGGCTTGATGGCGCCAGCCGCCGTGATGGCCGAACGGTTCCGCTCCTCCAGGGACAGGTTGAGCAGCGCCGTCACCGCGTTCTCCTGCGCCACCGGGTCGGTGCTCCGCAGCAGCGGCACCAGCGCCGGGATCGCCCCGGACATGCCGACCAGCTCGCGGATGTCGGAACGGTGCTTGGCCAGCAGCCTTATCCTGGCCGCCGCCGTGCGCCGCGCATCGGGGGCGGCGTCGGGCCCCAGCGCCTGCACGCACGCCAGCACGAACGGCTCCACGCGGTCCAGCGGCGCCGCGTCGGCCGACAGATCCGTGGACTCGAGATCATTCAGATCCACGGCGGCGAGGTCCGGCGCGTCGGATCTGGGCGTGGCGGCCGCGGCGGCCAGCCGCTCGAGCTCCCCGGAGATGTCGGAGTTGAAGCTGGAGTAGTCGGAGAAGTCGCGGGACAGCTCGAGCATCTCCGTGGCCGCCGCGTTGGCGGAGGAGGACTTGGCGACGGCCGCCGGGTGCGCGGGGCCCGCGGTGGCCGCCAGCTCGCTGAGGCGGAAGTCGATGACGGAGTCGGTGAGGTTCTCAATGTCCGAGTCCCCCTCGTCGGCGGCGCGCAGGCGCGAGCTGGGCCCCGGGGGCGAGTCCGGGTGCAGCAGCGCGGAGCGGATGGTGCGCATGGAGTGGCCCGGGCGGCGCGGCGCGCAGGGCCTCTGCTTGGGCGAGAGGATCTGGGAGCCGGCGAGCGAGACCATGGCTGGCAGGCACGGCCTCTGCTGGGGCGGAGTGATGATGAAGGGAGGGTGGTGTGGTGTGTTGGTGGTTGGGCTGGGAGACGTCCTACCCCCCCTACCAATGTGTACACCCACTACAGAGTCACAGAGAGACGTATAGGATGATGCCCGTGCGCAGACACAGTTCACCCACTACGCGCGCACCGGGGGACGACGGAATGGGGAGCCGGTAGTGCGCCGTGGATCTTTGTAGCCCCCGCCTCCGGGTTGACGACGGCCAGGTGTCTACGCTCTGCTGCAAACCCCATCCCGCCTCCCGCACTTGTCGCGTGGCGCCGCTGGCCGATGACGTGCGGGGTCCTGCGCGGAGCTGTCAGTGGGGGCAGTGTGCGGCGTGGGGGCAAGGCAGCAGTCGGGGAGGAAAGCGCCAGGGCCAGTGGGCAGGGGCAGTGGCTGGCCACCGCCGGTTTACTTTACTTTTGGTGGCTGTGGAAGCAAGGAATCGCTTGTTTTCCGTTTGTTTTGTTCCCGCCCGTGCCGCGTTGGCCGCGACGGCGTCGTCGTATCGTGCGACACGGACGGCCGGCTTCGAGCTCCACCTCCCCTCCGCATGTCGGGCGGGGGACGTGTGGCCGTGAAATCTGAGCCGTCTAGCCGTGGTGCGGCTTTTTCCCCGGGGAGCGGTCAGTCAGGCAGGCAGCGCACGCAGGACAGCGGCGCGCAGCTGGATGCGAGGTGGACGCTTTGCACGCCTCGCAGTGCTGTAATAATAGCCACTCGGGGGGTCAAAAGGGATCATCACGGGGGCGTTCAGGTGCGCGCGTGTTGTGGTTGGATTGTGGGGGGAGCTCTGTGAAAGCCTGAAAATTTCACCCGGAAAAAGTTACGGCGGGGGCAGCGGTGGCCACGGTGTGTGGCGCGGTGGCAACACTGGCGTGACCGGCGGTCCGGCGCTGGCGGGGTATTTTTTTTAATCGGCGGTTCTTTTGTTAACCACACGGCATGATGCCTTTTCTGCACGCACGGATCATGTAATGATGTTACCCATGTATGGTGTGGTTTTCTTTTACGGTAAAACTATCTGGCGAGCGTTCGAACGCCTCCGGAGGCGCACAATTCTATATCCAATGGATGGCAGTTTTCGGCAATTTTTGTAGTAACAAATAAATAATATTGAGTAACAGGCGTCCATCGACCGGTCGAAATTTTGGTCGGTCACCGTGCAAGCGTAGGGTGCGACTATTGCCGGCAGTCGGTTCTGCTCCTCCCAACTCCTCCCCCACCCCAATTGTAGCACCTAGGCAGTGAGCGTCGCCGACACACGCCATAAATGTCGTGGTCTGAATTCTGACAGTAAGGCTGCTCCCAATACATGGGTGCTTAGATGAGTTGCTAAGCACATTAAATAGCTTAAAAATTATACTCCCCAATGCATAGGTGCTTAGCTTATGGTTGTTAAGCTTGCTTCATTTAATGATTTAGCAACTAAAACTCTTCATGTATTGGTGGGCTTTCTTCCTTTAAATGTTTTGCCTCGGTTCACGCGCTTAGCATTGTTTCTTTATGGGGTCACCACACTCGTCTCTCTCCTCTTAAATAACTTGCCACATCAGATTTTTTGCCTACGTGGAAGGCTTAGCACCTGTACAAGGTGGAGCATTGGGAGGGGCCTAAGAGAGGAGGGGGGAGGCCTGATCACGAGAGATGCTGGGGGTGACACAAGGAAGTATACAAGTTCAAACCCCTTGCGTTGGACGTAAAAAGCCTAATCCCGTTCTCCGAGAATAGTGTTCCTGCGTCTAGGTGTCTAAGTAAATACGTTCTGAACCCGTAACCAAGCGTGGATGGCCTGCTTCGCCAACTCCCTTGCATACTACGCTATGGATTAATTAAGATTAGCAAGTATACATGCCCACTACTGATTATTACAGATGTCTTGATGATTAGATTAGGAACATTGTAAACAATGATTTTTAAATACCAAAGAATTTTTGAAGATTTTGATTTTTTTTAATTTGTATTAAAAAACAAAAACAAAAAACACACTAAAGAAACAACAAACAACAAACCCATTGAGGAACCTTCTAGGAGGTTCCATAAACCGGTAAGGAAGGTTCCCAAGACCGGAACAATGTGTAAACTGCTATCGCTACATGGGCCGGCCAATTATAGCATCGCTAGCTATGCCTGTACGATTCAGCGGCAATCTGCCGCATGGAGCGTCATATAGGAATTGCAGAGGAGCTCTCTTAGGTCATATATAGACTTTGCAGGGTCAGACGCTGATCACGTGAGAGTAGCGCGAGGCCCGGGAGTAGGAACGGGCCTTCTCACCTGGCTTCTGTATTCCTAGATTTTAAGTTTGAGGGGTTGGGAGGAGGGAGGCAATCGATAGAGAGCTCCTCCTCGGAAAACTCTATACGTCGCACGTTGCATCCATTTGTCGAGCTTTTGCACAAGGGATTCGACAGCGAGGTATGATCTAGGCCGACCCGCCTAGCGCTTCTGCCATCCCGGTTTTGGGAACCTTCCAGGAGGTTCCTAGCTGGTATTTTCGGATTTGGGAACCTTCTAGGAGCTTCCTGAACCAGGTTTTTTCTTTTTCAGTTTCTTCTTAATTTTTCCATTTTTGCTATTTCTTTTTTGTCTTTTTCTGTTTAAATTTTCTTTCTTGTTTTCATTTTCAAAAAATGTTTGTGTTTTTCGAAATTTGTCCACAAATTTATAAAAAATGTTTGCATTTTACAAAGATTGGGAGTTTCAAAAAACTTCATTTTAAAAAATGTTCTCTTTTTCAAAAAATGTTCGTGTTTCCAAAAAAAAATCACGTTCTCAAATTTGTTCTATAGGTTCAAAAAATGTTCCGATTTTAAAAAATATTTTGTCTTTCCAAAAATATTCATGTTTTCAAAAGTTGTTCACAAATTTTGAAAAATGATTCTGTTTCCAATAATTGTTCTGCAGTTTAGAAAACGTTTGCATTATATATTTTTACTATTTTAAAAAATTATTCTGAAATTGTTCCTGTTTTCAAAATTTATTCATAAATTTCTTTTTTTACTATTTTCTATTTTTTGGAACTTTTAAAAAATGTTCACGTTTTCTAATTTTCTTTAGATTTTTCAAAATATTTTTTCCGCTTTTAGAAAATGTTTGTATATTTTGGTGATTTTAAAAAAATGTTCATATTTTTAGAAAATGTTTCAGTTTTTCCAAGGAAAGGCTTAGAAAATTGAAAACTATTTGTGTGTCATAAAACATTTTATTTTCAAAAACTAAATCGGGTTTCCATAAATATAAACAATTTCGGAAATCATGAAGATTTTTTTAAAAATACGAATAATTTCTGAGAAGACAAACATTTAATTTCTTGAGAAAAATCAGTATTGTGTACATTTTCTGGAATTTCGAGCAAAAAGTCAAAAACTTGAAATAGGAAATCAGAAGAAAGGAAAAAACGTTTGGATCTGCGTTTTTTTTGTTCTTATAGATTTGAGCTACCGGTTTAATCATTTGTAGTGATTATGTCTACTGGCTAGCAAGGTGCTCTCTTAGACCTGAGGTCCCGGGTTTGATCTCTACAATATGCGATTTTTTTTAGGTCAACAGACTCGCGCTTAGCTTGGGCCGGCCCAGTCAGGTATCCGCCTGTGCGTGCGTCCAGTAATTTGCCGCAAAAAGCGGCACATAAGAGCTCCCCTCCTCCTCAGTGCCTTCTGTGCCAGGCAAAGAAGCCAGCGCTCACGCGCTGTAACGCCCCGAGACCGACGCTCCAGAAGACTTCCATATTTTTGCGATCACCGTGTGTTTTTTTATGCTTGCTCTTTTATTTTTGCATTGCATCTTGTCATCATGCCATCATGTCATTAATCTTTGCATCTCAACTCAACTAATAAATTGCATAGATCGTTGATCTATTTAAATCGAGGGATATTCACATGGTGATTTCTCTTTGAAACATATTCAAAGTCTCCTACTATTATTAGGGAGCTATAATAAAATTATTCCGTTCATTTGGAATTAACCACAACGCACTTGCAAAATATCCCATGCCGTTGTTATCTCAATTCTTGGTCTCCAACCTTGCCCATAATTTCTTTCATCATTTTCCGGAGCTCCACCAAAAATCCGAACATTTTTGGACCTTCCAAACTCCCACTTCCTATTTAAACTCTTTTGAATGTAATTCAAATGAGGTTGTATTCAGTCCCTTCGACACGTATCTTTGCAATTTTTCTGGATCAAGACCTTTTCGATGAGCCCAAGAAAATTAACTCCTTTCCAAAATTGCTTCTCTAACATCTTGTTTTCTCTCCTTTTCTTTCCTTCTATTATTTCTCTTCTGTTTTTGGAAGAGAGAGCAACCCACCAACTCTAGCCCGCAGCCCAGGCCGGCCCAATTCCCCTTAAGCCCACCTAAACCACTGTTAACCCTAGCCCCGACCGATCCCAGCCCCCACGCATATCTCTCCCTCTCGTTCCCTCTGCCCGCCGCCACACACACACGCATCGAGCCAGGGAGACGAGCTCCCTGCGCCCGGTCCCCTCGCCGCCCTCCTCCTCGATCCGGCCCGAAACCGCCGCCGCCGCGCCTTCTTGCCTCTGCGCCTCCCCTTCTCCTGCTCCTCCGCGATGCCCTGCTGCCGGCCAAGTCCCGGCCTCCAACGTCAAGATCAGCCCCGAGCTGCTGCCGCATCGAGCTCTTCCCGACGCCTCCCATGGAGACAGTGTCGTGCTGCCGCTGCTCTTCCGACGCTCGTTCCCCATCATCTCCATCGTCGCCTCCTCCTTGTCCAACCGGCGCCATCCATCCCCTCGACCGCGCGTCTCCTCCACCAGCAGCCTACAACGCCCAAGGGGAGCCGAGCTCCTCCCCGTCCCCATGGTGGTTGCTTCCTTGCAGCCGGCGTCCAAGCCCCGCTTCTCCTACCTCGCTGCTCGTCCCAGCCGCATTGACTACGCCCTTTGCGCCTCCTCTCTGCTTTGCCGTGGGCTGCAGTCTGCGCCAAGGCGCAGCGACC